AGGAACTTACCTCATGATGTGTCGACTCATCTGGTCCCAAGAGGCGTCAGTTACGTCTCCTGTTGAAGGAGCAAGTGAAGGTTTTGGATGTAGGATGTGTGCAAAAAAATATTTGCAACCAAGTTTTTAATTGCCTAAACTTAAAAATACAGATGAACAGATTGTCTTTGCCACTAGGGGGCAGTGCAACAAGATATGACTGACATCATCCTGTTGTTGTGGTGGTGAACTTGTTAGCAAACAGCTGCCTATTTACACATCCAGCAAACCTGAGGCAACATTAGCATCATTAGCTTCATTTTGAGTCTGTTTCCGGCCACCTGGTGAATACAAGTCCAATACTCACTCCTCTTTTAGCCTCCTGAAACTCACGGGGGAAATATCAGGCAGCTCTATGTTCACAGAGTATCTGCCGGGTCTGTCTGTTATCTGGTGCTGCAGGTAGCGTTCAGTGTGTTAATCAGAGCTTATTCACTGAGAACAGCTGCTTACTACTGCAGGGGAAACACCGACGACAGCGGGACTGAACCAGAAACGACACTTAAAAAGCTCCGTGGCTGAGTTGGGTGATAACTGTCTGTCGGGTCATCACTACAAACAGCACCTGTCACATTAAACATGGTCATTTGATCCATTGTTAGTATCAAAATCTTTATCAGTCCAGCTTTAACCATATAAGTGTCAGACCAGAAAACTGTCCACTGAGTCTGTTTGGTGGAAGTCACACAGGCGGCTGCTCTGTAGCTGAACCATATAAGAGCATAAAGAGAACAAAAGGACTTAGGATCAATTAAGTATTACATAATAGTGGGGGGGTGGGCATGGTTTCTGCTCAGCTGCAGGGGAGGGGGTGGTAGAGTGGCTAATGGAGCGTAGCTGAGGTGAGTTAATAAGCGCAGCTGTAGCTGTGTGGGTCTATATCTGACTAATTACTCTCCTCTCCTTCACACGCAGCAGCGTGCTGGGACTCGGCCTGAGACTCAGAGCTGCGCCATCGAGCCGCATCGCCACAACTTTTCAAGAACAGACGTGAAGTGCACTGAAGACACAGCCAGAGGCGCCGTGCTGATCTGTGGTGTTTAATAGTGTATGCAGAATGAAGAGCCAGTTGTCTATCAGCCATTCTCTTTACCTGCCTCTTCATTCACAGGGGGCTGCAGCATATCCCAGCATGCACAGCAAGCACAGTGCCCATCCAGCCCCAGCATCTGTATGCATATGAAGTCTATATTCCACTCAATACAGCAAAATGGTAGAGCGAAGAAATATGGATGACATGTGGAAACTTTGGTGAAATTAATGGTTTCACAAAGGAACCGTTGAAAATCAAACAGTAATTTAGGAGATCCAGCTTTTCATAAATGTCATTACATCTTAACAGTTATTTCACAGGAGATTATTAAACATTTTTATTTCAGTTATTTAGTTTTATAATAGAATTAGAATGAAAATTCATATTTAAAATAATCCGCCTCTGGCTTAATGTCTGAAGCGATGTTTCCAGCTTGACATTGTTTTAGTTATTTTTGTTGAAACTGGGCCAAGGCTGGATTACCAATCAGGCAACTGCCCCGGGGCCCCAGACCCCCTGGGGCCACAAAAGCGTGATTAACTCTTACGTATTAAATGGGTCTATGTAATTTGATTAATTGCAAATTCGTCATGAATGTGTTCCACTGAATATCAACTATATCAACTATGACAATATCATCCTCCATGTTGTGGCCTATCGCTCTTGTAGAGGGCGAAAATCTAAGACCTTCGATTCATTTTTTGCTTCTGTTGAAAACAGAAACATCCCCTTCAATGATGCAGATGAGACAGAATTTGTAATATTAAACATAAATTAATTAAAAAACATTTATTCAGTTAAAATTGTTTACTCATCCTACCTCTCCCTGTATCTATCTTAGTATTTTTTACCCGTTTTTAAACTGTATTTATTTAAATCACGTATACTTCCTGTATAAATGAGTGTGTGAGGATCCTCAAACTTTTGCAGAGCAGGTGACCTGAGGCTGCGTTTCAATTGGTGGACTTCAAGATTTGGCCACGCCTTCTTCTCCAATTGGAATTGTTTTTAAGTTTTTCTTATAATGTGATTGGACAGTTTTCTACGGACTTCCATATTTGAGGCTGGCAGGTGATCGAGGGCGGGCCTACACTCAGGACCTTAAACACCAAAGTGCAAACGGCAAAGTAGCTAACAAGTGTTTAAAGCTAAGTTGTTTTGGCGGCTTAGCATTGCTGAACAGCCAGACAGGGCTGCAGGACTGGCGTTAGAGGGCACAACGAAGAGGTGACAAAAAACCGGCACATTCTGTCCAGAATCATCGATTGTGTGAAATTTTGATGATCGGGAGAGCTCTGATAATCCCGGGATATCCCCTTAATGGAGTGTTGAAAGAACACCTTGAGAACGCCACTGTATCCACGGGAACATGCAGAACGAGCACCTGGACTGTGTGCTGTGTGTTGTGAGGGAACACATCGCCAAAGAAGCCCAAAGCTGTTCTTGTGCTGCGCTATAGTGATGCCAACAACAATGTGCAGGAGATGTTTTGTTTCTTCACTTAGTGCTTCTGGCGAGTGACTTCACATTAGCTGCTGCTGCCCACTCTCCACACTGACACGCCGTGTTTTTAAAACCTTAATGTTGGCAGCTTCTATGTGCTCGCTCTGATCAGCAGTCCTCCAGCAAGAATTCACTTGGACTATGTTATCAACACCTCACTCTTTATGTTACTTTAATTTGTGCATTTACACTTAATCACTTTCACGCTGTTAACGGCTTGTTGGCTGTAGAATGGGACTCCATGTATTCTGTATGCTGCTTCTGGCCTGTGCGTGTTTGTTGGTTTGAAGGATAGAAAATTGTATAATATGTGATTTTTTAATAAACAGTGGTTTTGTAGATCATATTTAAAGTCATGCATTCTTTCATCCTACCCTTTTTGGCTTCTTTAAATCAACGTTTTTCACATAATGTGAATATCTCTTAACACAAACTACTACAGGTCAAGCTACTCATGCACTCATAAAACTGGACTGAAATGAAAAATCAGACTGAAAGACCAAGAACATTTAAAATATAAATTATAATAGATTTGCACCACCACTGCCGCAGACCTTCATCCTCTACAGCTGGAGAGACCTTTAATACAAACCCTTGCAGAGAGTTGAGCGGAAGGAGCTCCTCTCTCAGCTGTCAGAGAATCCATAAAATGGAAATCCACGTTTTTAGGTTTTTGAGGGAGCACAAAGTAATCTCACGCTCCGAGAATTCACAAAAGTGACAGTGTGCCTGTACGAAAAAAATAATAATCCTTTGCCACGGTGGGTGTTCATTTCCCGCCAATACGCCTGGAGTTAGGACATCTTTATGGTGGCAATAAAAAAGGAACAATCATCAAGACACTGTGTAAGCTCCAGCAGGGAAAGTGATTAAACAATTTATATAAATCAAAACCCTGTTTTCTCTCTTCCTCATTATTTTCTGTAATTTGTTCCTGCTGCTGAGCATCAGGCTAAACAGCCGTCAACATGATGAAACCCAAACACTTTAAAAATCACAGAGGTCTTTTTCTTCAACGACTCATCATCAGCTCCACTTTCTCTTGACTGAGGTCTTTATGATAGTAATCTCAGCTGAGAACACCACAGTCACTCCGTGTCCTGAGCCTCACGTCTCGCAGCCTCTGAGGAAAGTGGAAAATACAGTGATACGGTATTATTGTATATTATGTAATTACATGATCACGTGATAGAGATGTGGCGTCCTGCTGCCCCACTCCCACAGACATCCCTCTGTGTGTTTGATGATTAATGTGTGAGTCTTGGTAATTATAATCTGATTTACTTCATGTGCTGAAAACAAACACCACTGAGGATTATTATGACAGTTCTATTAAAGCTGTGGTGGGAAGTCGGCCAGCTAACTGCTGTCCTGTAGTGCAACGTTAGTGGCAAACATGTTTCATTCAAATAACTATTCAAGGTCCAAAGTGGTAAAATCATCAGATTATTTTACAAAAAAAGAAAAGAAAAAAAGTCCAAAAACTGAACATAAATTTATCTTTAATTGTCTTACGACCCTGAGACTCTTCTTGTGGCCCCGTGGAGCCGCGGTGGACAAAGTACAGCTGCATTACCTGAGTCCTGGTCAAATGTGACTGCAATACAAGTGAAAGTTGTTCAGTCAAATTTTTACTTGAGTTGAGTTCTGGACTATTTGATTGTTTTCTCTCCTGTGATGAACACAGTGTATCTAATCACATTTTCAAAATAAAATAAAATTCATTCCCTGACTAAAAGCTATGCTTCAAAGTAAGAGTACTTCATAAAAATGTAGTGGAGTCAAAGTCACGTCTCTAAAAAAACAATACTCAAGTAAAGCACAGATACTGAAGAAATATACTTCAGTACAGTACTCAAGTAAAAGTACTTTGATACTGTCCACCCCTGCTTAGAGGGGCCCCTAAAACCGGCTCCACCTACAACAGTGAAATTATGTCTTCATGTGAAGTGATGCAGCAGTAATAACATGTAATTCTGAAGCTGCCATACATATATATATATATACATATATATATATATATACAGTATATATATATTGCTGATAATACGTTTGTGCTTTTGGATGTGAGGTTATTTTTGTGTTGGTGTACTGGTACTTTTACTGAGGTGGAGGATGTGAGGACTTCTTCTATCACTGTCAGACGGAGTGCGTGTTTGTAGAGGTGTTGCAGTTCGTTGCATTAACTTGTCAGAAAATCCTGTTTTATCTGTTTAGGTGTTTTTTCTTTTCACTTTTCTACCATGCAGCTGGTTTCCAGCTGATCCAAAATCCAAATCAGGTCATAACTTTTGTGAGTTATTGTTGTACAGACATAATGTTAAACCTACCTTTATGAAATAAACAGGTTAATGTCTCTCGACAGGTGAAATTAAGACAACACGGCATCTTACTGCATCATAAATCAGCAACATTTATTTCCACTTTTTATACATTAAACGTGCATATCAATAAAACTAAAACGGATCATATAAATACCTCTACTGTAATACTGTTACAATAAATATGGCTCTACAGATTCTAGGTTAAATAAAAAACAAACTTCAATATCAACTGCTGCGTGACACAAGGAGACACTCTCAGGAAATACTGTACACGCCGTCTCTTTTAGCACATTTTTCATCTCGGTTGATGGACCTGTTTGGTGATTGTGCTGTGATAAGGACGTCACTCTCCCTGTAGTGATTTGAAAAAGTGGCCCTTTGCTCTCGGCTGTGCTTCTTCTAAAAGTGATGTTGCTGAAAAATGTTCACAGTGTCAGTGTGACTGATAAGAAAACTGGAGTCCTTTCCGTATCCTCACTCAGACTGCACCTGTGACGAGATAGTGCCATGCCTTGCACGCACGCACACACACACGCACGCACACACACACACGCACGCGCACAAAAATTAAATAAATGTGCTCAAAGACTTAATAGTTCATAGTACGGTTTAAAGCAGCCACTCTGCTCCAGGTTGACTTATGTTCTTAAAAAAAGGCATTTGTAAACGCTGGCTGTGTCGAACTGGATACTGACTGAGGAAAGCTTTGTGGGAGAGGGCGCCAGGCAGTGAAGAGATTATGATACAGCTGTGATTCACATGTACAGGAATACATCAACACATCAACAGCCATGTCAAAATATCACACACAGTACTTTAAAGTAGATTACCAAAAACTCTGATAACGTGCAAAAATAAACACACGTACTCTTTCACAAAACCCCCACGCACAATGTTCATCTTATACATGATACACAATGAATAATTAATGTATAGATTGAGTAATAAATATCAACACATGGCTATGTTTTACAGGGTGTTTTGGCTTCAGTAACGTCTTTCCCTTTATGTGAATGTCAAGTATAATGTCATCCCATGCACCGGCTTTAGCTTTTCTTAAACATCCCTCAACTCTCGCTTCACTCTTGTGCTTTTCTTAACACTTACAAACTCAAATTAATTGTCCACACAGGGAGGACATGACGCCAGAAGTTTTACATGTCAAGTGACGGAAGGTTTGACGCTGATAGTAATGATTAGGTCATAACGTCCTGTGGAGTGTAATGCTTCAAAAAAGGAGGAAACGTTGAGAGCAGGTTGAATTTCAGTGGCTAAAGCTATCCTTCACAGCGCAGTGGATGGTAGCAAAGTTCCAAAGTTCAAAAGATTCAAAGTCAATCAGATATTGTGCAGTATCAATAATAACTAATGATACAAATAGATATAAACTTTTGTGAAAATAGACAAAAACAGAGCGAAAACACGTTCAGTAGAGTAAAAACCAGGAGAGGAGTCGTGTCTGTGCGTTTCCCTCTGTCTCAGAAGCCAGGCACGTGGCAGTACGCCTCCAGGGAGGCCAACAGGATGTAGATGGACCAGAGGGACAGGAAGAGGAAGAAGGTGAGGAGCTTGGCTGTCCGTGGGCCCCCCAGCTCCCCGCCCGACACGCTGGCACGCCGGCGGTAGAGCAGCACCAGCACTACTAAGAGCGCCATGATGGTGAAGAGGGTGACGGAGAAAGCCAGGGAGCCCGGGTGCACCTTGAACACTTTGCCTTTGGTCTGCCAGTAAACGGCCGCGATGGTCCACGCCACCCCGATGCCCAGGAACACGTTCACCGCGTTGCTGCCGGTCACGTTCCCGATGGAGGCGTCAGCATATTGGTCCTGGATGGCGGCAACTTTACTGGCAAACGTATCTGTGGAAGCAAGAGAAATAAGGATGAAGCATAAAGAGAGAAGCAGGTGAAGTTGTAGAGATCAGAGCTGACACAGAGGGCGTCACACACTTCAAAATAAAGTCATACAGAGCTTAAAAACTGTTGGTGGCAAAAACTTAATAACAAGGCAACTTACTGTATATAAATATTTGTAAGTATAACTAAAGGCTTACATGTGTAATTTTATAGTTTTTTTTCTTTTCACTTTTCTACCATGCAGCTGGTTTCCAGCTGATCCAAATCCAAATCAGGTCATAACTTTTGTGAGTTATTGTTGTACAGACATAATGTTAAACCTACCTTTATGAAATAAACAGGTTAATGTCTCTCGACAGGTGAAATTAAGACACACGGCATCTTACTGCATCATAAATCAACAACATTTATTTCCACTTTTTATACATAAACGTGCATATCAATAAAACTAAAACGGATCATATAAATACCTTACTGTAATACTGTTACAAATAAATATGGCTCTACAGATTCTAGGTTAAATAAAAAAACAAACTTCAATATCAACTGCTGCGTGACACAAGGAGACACTCTCAGGAAATACTGTACACGCCGTCTCTTTTGCACATTTTTCATCTCGGTTGATGGACCTGTTTGGTGATTGTGCTGTGATAAGGACGTCACTCTCCCTGTAGTGATTTGAAAAAGTGGCCCTTTGCTCTCGGCTGTGCTTCTTCTAAAAGTGATGTTGCTGAAAAATGTTCACAGTGTCATTGTGACTGATAAGAAAACTGGAGTCCTTTCCGTATCCTCACTCAGACTGCACCTGTGACGAGATAGTGCCATGCCTTGCACGCACGCACACACACACGCACCACACACAACACGCACGCGCACAAAAATTAAATAAATGTGCTCAAAGACTTAATAGTTCATAGTACGGTTTAAAGCAGCCACTCTGCTCCAGGTTGACTTATGTTCTTAAAAAAAGGCATTTGTAAACGCTGGCTGTGTCGAACTGGATACTGACTGAGGAAAGCTTTGTGGGAGAGGGCGCCAGGCAGTGAAGAGATATTGATAACAGCTGTGATTCACATGTACAGGAATACATCAACACATCAACAGCCATGTCAAAATATCACACACAGTACTTTAAAGTAGATTACCAAAAACTCTGATAACGTGCAAATAAAACACACGTACTCTTTCACCAAAACCCCCCACGCACAATGTTCATCTTATACATGATACACAATGAATAATTAATGTATAGATTGAGTAATAAATATCAACACATGGCTATGTTTTACAGGGTGTTTTGGCTTCAGTAACGTCTTTCCCTTTATGTGAATGTCAAGTATAATGTCATCCCATTCACACCGGCTTTAGCTTTTCTTAAACATCCCTCAACTCTCGCTTCACTCTTGTGCTTTTCTTAACACTTACAAACTCAAATTAATTGTCCACACGGGAGGACATGACCCAGAAGTTTTACATGTCAAGTGACGGAAGGTTTGACGCTGATAGTAATGATTGGTCATAACGTCCTGTGGAGTGTAATGCTTCAAAAAAGGAGGAAACGTTGAGAGCAGGTTGAATTTCAGTGGCAAAAGCTATCCTTCACAGCGCAGTGGATGGTAGCAAAGTTCCAAAGTTCAAAAGATTCAAAGTCAATCGATATTGTGCAGTATCAATAAATAATAATGTACAAATAGATATAAACTTTTGTGAAAATAGACAAAAACAGAGCGAAAACACGTTCAGTAGAGTAAAAACCAGGAGAGGAGTCGTGTCTGTGCGTTTCCCTCTGTCTCAGAAGCCAGGCACGTGGCAGTACGCCTCCAGGGAGGCCAACAGGATGTAGATGGACCAGAGGGACAGGAAGAGGAAGAAGGTGAGGAGCTTGGCTGTCCGGGGCCCCGAGCTCCCCGCCCGACACGCTGGCACGCCGGCGGTAGAGCAGCACCAGCACTACTAAGAGCGCCATGATGGTGAAGAGGGTGACGGAGAAAGCCAGGGAGCCCGGGTGCACCTTGAACACTTTGCCTTTGGTCTGCCAGTAAAACGGCCGCGATGGTCCACGCCACCCCGATGCCCAGGAACACGTTCACCGCGTTGCTGCCGGTCACGTTCCCGATGGAGGCGTCAGCATATTGGTCCTGGATGGCGGCAACTTTACTGGCAAACGTATCTGTGGAAGCAAGAGAAATAAGGATGAAGCATAAAGAGAGAAGCAGGTGAGTTGTAGAGATCAGAGCTGA